ATAAATACCAGGGATGACAGTGAGGGAAAGGCGGGCGGCACAGTCCTGCCCTGGGGGAGCTGTTGTTCGAGACCTGCCGTCACACGCTGCAGATGCCATTGTCCCCGCAGCTGATGTGACGCCTCGCATTGTTGGGAGAGGATTAGCGGAGCCGGCGCATGTTGATGGCCTGCTTCTAATTTGCATCTTTAACGAAGTGGGAGCCCAGCCAGGTTCTGTTCTTTTGTGTTTACTTCCAATGATTACAAATAAATCTCTTTGCTCCAGCTTCCTGGAATAAAAGGCATTCGGAGCCTGTTAACTCCGTAGTTGGGGAAGGAAAAGAGAAACCCCATTAGGATTAGGTGACTGTCATTAACAGTTTCTTCTCAAAGACAAGGGTGCTGGGGCGTTCCCTCTGCCCCTGTGACAGGTGCTTTTGGGTGGTAACTTCCCAGGATGGAGCAACACCCCGTCACTGCTGTGGGGCTTTGCTCCCGATGCGGGTGAGCTAATTTAGCCACTGAAAAGTGGGTCATCCAGCCAGTTTGGGACTGGTTTTGGCATCTCCATTTGTCATGTTGACAGGAAGCGTTGCCTCCAGGACAGAAAAGCAGTTTGGGGCTGAAGGGCTGTAGAAGTATTTACAAGTAGAACGTTGTGGTTTGCATAAGGAAGGGGGAGGGTTTGGGGTTGATCCAAACACGAACATCACCCTGAAGTCTCCACACTTGGGGTAAGAAGTGGTCTCCTGGACTGCTTGGGTTATGCATTGACATTTGGGGGTCACCAGCATTCCATCCTCTGGGATATCTTGCTTTATGCCTTCAACTCTTCACCTGCCATTTATCCTTCCAAACTAGTGCCGGAAAACTTGTGCTGACGTTGGACACAGTATTTCCTTCACCATGGGGCAGATGGTGAGGGCAGCCCCAGGCTTCGCCCTCATAACTTGTCTGAAGCAGCAGCGATAGAAAGGTCTGTGATGGGGACAGGGAAAAACAGCGAATGAAGGTGGCACATCCAACACATAGGAGAAGTGCTGTCAGTGTCATTGATGGGGCCAGGCAGGACCCCGCTGCGGGAACGACACGGGGGTCTCTCCTAATAGATCCAAGAGGAGGGAGCCGATCGCTTTGTGGCGCCGAACACAAAGAGCGCGTCGGTGGAGTTATTTGTATTGTTGACACTAAGTGAAAGAATTCCTTGGCAAACTTCACAATTAGCATTTAAGGGTGAGGAATTGGGGCAATTAGAGGGGAAGCGGTGCTGCGCCGGTGGCCCCCGGCTCCCTCCCTCGTGCATCTTCTTGTTCTGCTGTGTTCAGGTTCATCGCCCTCATCACTCCAGCAGCTCTTGGCCCCCCTGAGGGAGGGGATCAAGATGGGTCTTGGGATGTGGCATCTCCGGGAGGCCACATGTATCACTGTGTGCATCGCCAGCATCTGAGGCACCCCAACAAGCTGCTGTAGCAGAGAGAGGTCATGGTGGCAGGCAGCCAAAGGGCTGCACGTGGTGAAAAGTCTCTGCTCAAGGTCAGAGCATCTTAGGCAGAAGCTCTTCCCTGTGAGGGTGCTGAGGCGCTGGCACAGGGTGCCCAGAGAAGCTGTGGCTGCCCCATCCCTGGCAGTGTTCAAGGTCAGGTTGGACACAGGGGCTTGGAGCAAGCTGCTCGAGTGGAAGGTGTCCCTGCCCATGGCAGGGGTTGGAGCTGGATGAACTTTAAGGTCCCTTCCAACCCAGATCAGTCTGGGATTCTATGATCTCAAACTGGGTACGCTGGGGAGGTATTTGGAAGTGAAAGGGCAGAGAGGGTCTGAGTGTGGTAGAGATGGAGGAGCAGATGTGTTGGGTGGTATCACATGAAAAAGACCTGTAGAAGAGAACTGGCATAAGGTGGGTGTCGGGGTTTGGGCTGACAATATCAGTCCCAAAATCTTCCCCCTGCCTTGCTGATGGTTTTTCTCCAGGTGAACTGCAGATCCAGGATGGGTTTATTTCCCTCCCATCTGACAGGCACTTTATTGTCTTTGGTCCCTTTCAGACTCATGAGGCAGGGTTTCTTCTGGAGATGGATGTGGCGCCTTAAGGAGACTGTTAATGGGGGTTTGTCTTTGTTCTTAATTAGATCCCTTCAAGGGAAAACCTCCTGGCCCGCTTTATTCTCCAGCTTTGTCAGAGCCTGTCTGCTTTATCTAAACACTTTGCAGAAGTCTCTTTACCTGTTTGCTTACCGGAGACATTATCATAATCCTGGTCAATTGGAAAGAGGTAGCTAAGATGGCTCGGCAGGTGAGGGAGCTTAGCAGCTAATGGAGATCATTCTCCAAGCTAGGTAAAGAAGGTAGAGGGGTGTTGCTCACCTCTGGGTGTTGTGTATTTGCCTTTAAATCCTTTCTGTGCCAGCTGATGGATGATGGCTCTGTTCTGATAACTTGCAAGGAGGCAGAGGAGGGCTGGTTGAGAACCAGGGGGGTTTGTCTGGTTCCTCACCACCTGTAGCTGCAGGGCATAACCCAAGCTCTGGTGGAGAGGAGCAGGATGCTCAGCAAGCAGAGCCAGAGGGATTCAGTCCCACGTTAGTTATTGGGTGGCAGCAATTGAAGAGTGCAATTGAGGGATGGGGAGAAGGAGCCTTCACGTCCTTGCTCTTGGCATGAATCTGTAGGAGTCTCCATTTGCTCCTACCCATTTACTCCAAGTGGTTTTGAGGCTGGTACCAGTCACTGGGAGCTATGGGTAAGGGTGGGTGATGCTGTCCTTGCCCTTCCTTGTGTGTGTCCTCCCATGTTATGGGCATCCTCGTGCACTTGGGATCTGAGCTGAAAATGGGAGCTATGAATGCAAAATGAGTGACTCCAGTCCTCAGGGGTCCCCGAGCACCCACATTTCCCTGGGAAGCTCACCCAAAATGTGTTGACATAGGGATGTGTTTGGTTACGGCACGAGCTCCTCATCCCTCTCACTCTAAACCCTTGTCAGTGTGCTTCACCCCTAATGAGGGAACCCAAGAGCCCCTCGCAGGGCTGTAGCCTGGCTATTTATGTGAGCACAGACATGCAAGTTGCCTGTTCTACATATTGCTGCCCTGATTTTTCAGTGCACATGATGAATAATTTACAGAAGCCGTGTGTAAGTATCTCTTTATTATTCATTATAATGAAGTGAGACAGCAGTAATAGTCCACTAGACTGGAATCCCCCAGGGCCGAACTTAACTTGGCTCTGCTTAGCTCTCCCCCAGTTAATTTGAACAAAGGGAGGGCTCCGCTTCCAGACAAGGATGCTGCTTGCTCCGGCAGAGCAGAGCCAGCATCGCTGCAGGAACAGGGGCACGTCTGCAGCCCGGGCAGGCTCCTGGCATTCCAGGTGTGGAGAGCAATCCATCTTTCCCACCATCCCTACGCGATGCAGCTGGAGGAGACGTACAGCTCCAGCAAGGGGAGCATTATTCCTTTGCAGGAGGATATATGGCTCGTGGCTCCAAAGCCAGCGCCCGGAGGGACCCTGAAACATGCCAAGTGTCACCCCTTCCCTCCACCCGATTTATACTATCGATCGAGGTGGCGCTTTGCCATCCCAGCAAGGGAGGCATATAACACCCTGAAACCCCTGCAGGAGAGGTGCTGTGGTGGGGATGGGGACAGGGACAACCCACCAGCCCATTTCTGAATTTACAGGCATGTGGAAAGGGACTTGTTGTGAGGTTTTGATTGACTGTAGGTGCCTTTTCCTAGCATCTTGGCTGCACAAAGCTGCTGGCACAAGCTCACATCAAGCCTGATTTTCATGGTTTGCTAGGGGAAGGTTTCCTTTCTGTGGTCCTTGGTTGGGAAAGATGAAGCTCCTGAGAGGTGCTGGGCTCTTCATTTAACCAAATCCTTGGTGGTTTTGCTGCTGTGGCAGCAGCAGAGAGGCCACAAGTAACAAGATGGAGAAAAATCTATCAGACGAAATGAAAAAGCAGTGTTCTGCAGGAACATTTTAATTCCCTTTTCCCCCTTCCCTTCCCTCTGTTCTTTGCCAAGCATAAGTCAGCACCACGGGCCGGAGCTGCCGCGTCTCAGAGCAGGGAGGGTGGGAGACAGGCAGGAAATAAATCGCAGCAACAACCGCGTTGTGTTTTCAAGGCACTTGCAGGATTTACAGCTGCTTGTCCAAATGTTCTCTTCTCTTCCCTGTGCACTGGCTCCAGCTGTTTCTCTTCTTCCCCTCTTCCTGTGTGTACTGTGGCCCCTGTGCCCCGGCAGCAGGTGTATCTGTCACCCTGGGGATGGCTCAAGGGCCACGCTGACAGGCTGAACTGTCAGCACATTGACAGCTTCATCTGGATGTCTTGGTATGGAGCAAGGGTAGATTGAGGAGGGGAGGTGGACATGGCTGAGATGAGATCCTCCCCCTCTACTAAAGCTGATTGAGGCCACGCCTGGAGTGCTGTGTTCAGTTTGGGGCTTCTCAGTGTAAGAAAGCTACCGGAGAGGGTCCAATGAGGCCACAAGGATGCTCAGGGGTCTGGAGGAGAGACTGTAGGAGCTGGGCCTGGTTAATCTAGAGAAGGGCAGACTTAGAGTGGCAGAGCATGGGAACAAGCTCCACAGGGAGGTTGTGGAGTTTCCTAACCTGGAGACATCCAAACCCACCATGGACACATTCCTGTGGAACCTGCTCTGGGTGACAGGGGACTGGACTGGATGATCTCCAGAGGTCCCTTCCAACCCTAATGATTCTGGGACTGTATGGGTATGGAAAGTCTGTGTAGCATGTGGAGATCAAGCAAAAAAGGATTTTTGGCTCTGGTTCTCCAGCTCTGTATGAAAGAAAAATATGGTTTTTTTGGTGGACGTGTCATTTCTGTGATGACGTGGGACATGGGGACAGGGTCGCATGGCCACGGCGTGTGCCATCTCCATGTCTGCCCATGATAGGGAGCTCCTGTTGTGCTCGTGTCTGCTTTTTGGGAATGGGGGCGCTCATTGTGTGATCTCCTCCAGGTTTGTGACCATCTTGTCTCTTCCTTTGCAGATGTACTGTTGATGACCGGGTCACACGGGTAGCGTGGTTGAACCGCAGCACCATCCTGTACGCCGGCAATGACAAGTGGTCTATAGACAACCGTGTGGTCATCCTCTCCAACACCAAGACCCAGTACAGCATCAAGATACACAATGTGGATGTCTATGACGAAGGTCCCTACACCTGCTCCGTGCAGACAGACAATCACCCCAAGACTTCACGTGTCCATCTCATCGTGCAAGGTAGGTATTTACGTGACTCATGCTGTTGCTGCGTTGACTGTTGGATATGGGAAGCTGTATGGACTTGGGAAGGGTTTGGAAGTGGTGATGGAGATGTAGGAATCAGACCAACACCCATTGCTTCAGGGATCAAGTGGTGTGGGAATGGGGATGTGGACCAGTGCCGGCCATGCCAGGACTGGATGATGACTTGTGTCGTCTCAGCCTCGCTGTGTTGTATGGACATCATGTGTAGCAGAGCTCACCTAAGGACTGAAATAGGGTCTGGTGTGTCCTGCTGGGAATTTGACCCACCTCCATTGCTTGGGACCATGTTGCTTGGGAAGCAGTCAGCAAGGCTCCTGGGCATGCATATGAAGATGCTTTAGGAGGGCAGAAAACAAAGCGTGAGGCTCTGTGAGTTTGGGAGAGGGAACAGTTTGCGTGAGAGGCTCAAAGTCATTGCACGGCCATAAAGGGCTTTTGCAAAGGGCTTTGGAGGTTGGTGTAGCAGATCCTGTTGGGTTGCAAAGCAGAGTTTCTCTGCTGGGCAGAATCTGGGTACCAGCAGCCCTGTAGTACTGTGGTGGATTCCACTCTGTATCCTTGTGGCTTTACATCAGCTCCCGGCTTTTGTCCGGCCTCTAGATTAATTTTTCAGAGTTAGTGTTAGTTCAGGTTAGATAAAGATAATGAAAGTTTCCTAATCCTCTTAAAGAAGATTTATCTGGCTGAGTAGAAAGCTCTCGGAATACAATAAAGCGTGTATAAAACCAGGACCTAATCTTGCCTTTAATTTCAAACAGCTGATGGGTATTGATTTAGCAATGAGCAAATCTGAAACATTTCTCAGCCTCGACATGTCTCTGAGAAGCTTCCCCCCCTCCTCGCATATGTATGTATTTATATATCCTTCTCATTTGGAAGAGGCAGGGTTTGATTTAGGCCACTCAGCCAAGGGATTTTCCTGCTTGGTCTCAGCAGGGATGTGCTGGAGAGCCCTGAGAGAGGGAACATTTGCTTTGGGAAGAAGTCTGCATCAGGGACTGTAGCGATAGGACAAGGGGTGATGGGTTCAAACTGAAACAGGGGAAGTTCAGGATGGAGATAAGGCAGAAGCTCTTCCCTGTGAGGGTGCTGAGGCGCTGGCACAGGGTGCCCAGAGAAGCTGTGGCTGCCCCATCCCTGGCAGTGTTCAAGGCCAGGTTGGACACAGGGGCTTGGAGCAAGCTGCTCTAGCGGAAGGGGTCCCTGCCTGTGGAACCAGATGAGCTTTAAGGCCCTTTCCAACCCAAACCAGGCTGGGATTGTATGATTCTAAGAGCAGAGCTCAGCTCTGCTGGGAGCATCCCCTTTCATTGGGCCTTTTCCTCCTTTTTGAGCTGCATGTGAGCAGTGTCTGTGAAGTTTAATCTGTTTATCCTGTCTGCTCTCTAAGCGTGCTAATCCGTCCTGTCAACACAGGGAAGTATCCGAGTGCTTTGCACCTCATGGAATCAGGTGAACTGGCAGCTCCCGCTCCCCTTGTCCCATTTTCAGAGCAGGGCTTGCCATGCAGGCACTTCCCAGGCTTGGATGAGTGAAGGCGAGGGATGCTTTGCATCCAGAGCATCTGTCTGGAGCTGAGACAGTCCTAGCTGTTCCTGGAAAGGTTCTTCCCTGCTGTGGGCATGTGGCACATCTTATAGAACAGCTTCTGTGCAGCAATGACTGTGGTTCTCAGCTGTGTTGCAGAGAGGAGCTGGGGTTCTGTGGTGATGCAGGTACAGGTCAAGTGCTCCGTGCTGAGAAGCTTCTCTGTTTCTCTTTTGATGCATTAAGATCAAGCCACAGGGTTTACTGAAGTGGGGCTGCTGTGAAAGTCCATCTGTAGGTACCACCTTGCTGTCCTGTAGATGGTGGTGGTGGCCCAAGCAGCAAATCCTTCCCTTCTCTGTCCCTGCTCCAGCCCCAGTGCAGTTCCTTGATGAATAAAACATGCCTTCTGACCAGTCAGCAACCGTGTTCAGGGCAGTTCATTTCTATTTGTGTTGTGCAAAACTCTAAGTTGGCTGGATGGACTATTGGCTCTTTGTGTTCAGTTGGGTTTTAATGGTGTTTCTGCCTCTCCCCCACCCAGCAACCCGGTGATAAATCTGCCACGGAGCTGCAGTCAACACGAAACGTGTCTCTTAGTGTTGCTATTAATACACCTCTTGGATTGGATCATAGCAACAGCTGTTAACAAGGGTTTATAAGAGTGTAGGTGGCCGGAAGCCAAAGGGGTTTGTTTTGTCTCCCTTTTCCTCCTTTTTCTCGGGGGCCACCTCGTGATGATGGGATGGAAGCTTTTAGGAACACACGTGATGTTTGTGGCTTGCCAGTGTGTTTGGGGGAGTTAGGCATACAGAGAGAACTGGCATTGAATCTCATGTAAGTAGAAGATCATAGAAGCATCGTAGAATCCCAGACTGGTTTGTGTTGGAAGAGACCTTAAAGCTCATCTAGTTCCAACATCCAGGGTCACCTAGACTAGAGCAGCTTGCTCCAAGCCCCTGTGTCCAACCTGGCCTTGAACACTGCCAGGGATGGGGCACTGTAGACCACAGGCAGGATAGACCCATGCCTCCTTGGTGTGCACTGTTTAAGGACTTTGGGTGTATTTTAGCCTGAAAAGTGGACTTCAGGGAGGATGTTTTGCTTAAAGCTGTGGCTTTTGTAGTCAATGTCCTCCTTGTAGTAGACACTGTAGGGAGGAGAGAGTATGTGCTGAAGTGGCATGGCATAGCATAGCTTTGCTTTGGGATCCACACAGCTCCCTGGGTGATGGAGCTTTCTGTGCTGAACACTGCAACACTCCATCCCTACCTGACAGTGGTCTTTGGTATCCCTCAGATGTCCTCTGCTGCTGCTTTACGTAGTGAAGCCTCCTTTGTGTGGCCTTAATCCTACTCACCATAGATTCCTCTTTAAAACCCCTCCTGGCTGTCAGCATTGTTACTTGGAGCTGCTGGTCGGTGCAATCCATTTTCCCATCCCAGTATTTGCTGCTTTCCTCATGCTGAGAGCCAGGATGGGTTTCAATGGACCGTGGCCTTTGTTTTCAGTAGGGAAGTTGTGGTCATGTGGATGGCTTTCCAAGTGCACCTAAGGATGCTCCCTAGGGCTGCCTCGTGTCACTTGTGGCATCCGTCACTTCTCAAAGCATCACTGATCCACCTGTAGCTCCTCACCAAGTGTCTCCAAAGCAAACTGATTCTTTCTTTCTGCCTTCTGATAACAACCAGCTCCTCAGGTCTCTGACAGGGCAAATCCCCCAGCCCTTGATGGCCCCACTGAGCTCTTCTCTGATGTAGACTGAGCTCTGGGCTCCTCTTGGCACCGCAGATTTCAGGATGGCTCCAGTTAAGCTCACTTTTATCCCGCTGCCTTTGGTATCCAGGCAAGAGCTGAGGCAGTGACACTTATTAAAACCTTACCAGGAGGCTGATGGGTGTGTGGTGAGCTGAGGAAACGCAGGGAGAGGCTCAGCTGCCTTAGGTTGTAGGAAAGAGCCAGTAATAGGCTGTAGGCATAGGAAGTGTTTATTAGAAAACATATTTTAACTGCTTGGTGTTTAAGACTTGGTGTGAGGAGGGGGTGTGTGGAGTACAGAAATAGCCTGGAGAAAGGAAAAGGGGAGAGAAGGGAATGCTTGCTAGGTAGGGACCTCCAGAACGGGCTTAGCTCCCTCCTCATTGGATACTTAAGCCCTTATCAACTGGTGTGGGGTTTTTTGATCTACCTAAGAAGTCTCTATCACAGAGGTAACAGTCTAAGATGACCATATCTAAGCATGATAGAGAGGACGGGCAGGCAATGTGATGCTGTTGGTAGATTCAGGTTGCTTTATGTCATGTGCTGGGCTGGCAGGATGCGGTATGGATGGGGAAGCAACTGCCCTCCATCCTGCTGGCTGCAGCAAGAGGGTGTCTCAGGAGGAATGCTGCTCCTTGCACCGAGGTCTCCAAAGGCTTAGGGCTCAGAGCAGGTCCTCTTGGCATTTTGGAACAAATGCACAGATGTTACTGAAAGGTGGCTGAGATCTTCAGTCAGGGTGACAAAGATGTGAGATTTCTCCCCTCTTGGCAATGGAAGTTGTCCTCAGTGGGGTGGCAAAGTGGCCAGTGATGTTTGGGCATGTGTGTATTCCTTTGCCTCTGGGTCTAGCCAAATGATTTGAAGCTACTTAGTCTGGAAAGGCGTCTTCCTTGGCATGTCTGTAGTGTTTATAGTCATGTTTTATGTCCTTCTCTGGGGACATCTGAGTGGGCATCACATCCCTGGACCATGCAGTGGTGCCATGCAAGGTGTCATCACACCAGCAGCTCACGGGGAAATGCTTTTCCTCCTGAGATGGAAGCAGAGTGGGATGTGGCATTCAGGCCCTTGCATGTGTTTGCAGGACCAGAAGCAGAGCTTGCTTCCACCCTGGAGCTGATGGTATCTTGTGAGAGCAGGAGAAAGGAGGCAGTGCTAGAGGCTTACCTGGAGGTCTGGATGCATTTCTTCAGCATCCCACTCTGTTTGGCTATTGTGAGCCTAAAAGGGTAAGAACAGGATGCTCAGGAGTATGGAAGGATATAAGTGGTAGTGCTGGACCTGAACCAGGGTGGTACAGGTTGAGGTTGTGGCTGTTTGGTGAGGAAAGGAGAAGAGCATGGCAGGGTTTGGATGCTTGTGCTGCCAAAGGGGGTGGCTGATGGCCACAAGTATCATCTAGCACAGATGGAAAGGAATCCTTGTGATAAGCGGTGTCCTGTCTTAGGATGGGAAAAGGGTCCAAAAGAGCAACCAGATCCATATGACACCATTCTTCCCTCATTGGAGCAGGAGAGGATGGGCCAGAAGGCAAAGGCAGGCAAATAAGGAAGGTGCAGCAGTGAATTTATAGCTGAAGGAAGACAAGAGAATATCTGGAAGGAATAGCAAAGATTGAAGGGAGAAGGAACTGGAGGGGGAATAAAGCCGAAGAGGATGAATAGAGAAGCTCAGAGAGTCAT